GACACTACTGAAAGAAACCAAAAGAGACCTGCATAAGTGGAAAAACATACCTTGCTCATGGATAGGTAGACTCAGCATAGTGAAAAAGTCAATTCTACCCAAAGCGACCTACAGATACAATGCAATCCCGATCCAAATTCCAACAGCATTTTTTTAATGAGATGGAAAAACAAATCACCAACTTCATATGAAAAGGGAAGAGGCCTTGAATAAATAAAGCATTACTCAAGAAGAAGAACAAAATGGGAGGCCTCACGCTACCTGATTTTAGAACCTATTATACTGCCATGGTAATCAAAACAGCCTGGTACTGGCACAACAGATACACAGACCAATGGAACAGAACTGAGAATCCAGACATAAATTCATCCACCTATAAGCAGCTGATATTTGACAAAGGTCCAAAACCCATAAAGACAGTCTCTTTAACAAACAGTGCCGGCATAACTGGATATCCACCTACAAAGAAATGAAACAAGACCCACACCTCACACCATGCACAAAAACTAACTCGAAATGGATCAAAGACCTAAATATAAAATCAAAAACGATAAAGATCATGGATGAAAAAAATAGGGACAATGATAGAAGTCCTAATACAGGACATAAACAGAATACAAACTATAAATAACAATGCACAAACACCAGAAGAGAAACTAGATAACTGGGAGCTCCTAGAAATCAAACACTTATGACTCATCAAAAGATTTCACCAAAAGAGTAAAAAGACAACCTACAAACTGGGAAAAAATTTTTGGCTATGACAAATCTGATCAGCATCTTATCTCTAAAATCTACAAGATACTGCAAAACCTCAACAACAGAAAGACAAGTAACTCAATTAAAAAATGGGCAAAGGATATGAGCAGGCACTTCACCAAAGAAGACATTCAGGCAGCTAACAGATACAAGAGGAAATGCTCACGATCATTAGCCATTAGAGAAACGCAAATCAAAACTACAATGAGATACCATCTCACCCAACAAGGCTAGCATTAATCCAAAAAACACAAAATTATAAATGTTGGAGAGATTATGGAGAGACTGGAACACTTATACATTGTTGGTGGGAATGTAAAATGGTACAACCACTTTGGAGATTGATTCAGCTCTTCCTTAAAAATCTAGAAATAGAAGTACCATACAATCCAGCAATCTCGCTCCTTGGAATATATCCTAGAGAAATAACAGCCATCACACAAATAGATATATGCACACCCATGTTCATTGCAGCACTGTGTACGATAGCAAAAAATGGAAACTACCTAGGTGCCATCAACGGATGAATGGATAAACAAATTATGGTATATTCACACAATGGCATACTACACAACAATAAAGAACACTGATGAATCCATGAAACATAACATGGAAGAATCTGGAAGGCATTATGCTGAGTGAATTTAGTCAGTCGCAAAAAGATAAATACTGTACAAGATCACTATTATAAGAACTCAAGAAAAGGTTTAAACACAGAAGAAAACATTCTTTGATAGTTACGAAGGTGGGGAGGAAGGGAGAGGGGTATTCACTAGCTAGATAGTAGACAAGAATTATTTCAGGTGAAGGGAAGGACAACACATACTACAGGGGAAGTTAGCACAACTGCACTAAACCAAAGCTAAGAAGTTTCCTGAATACAACCAAACACTTCAAGGCAGAGAGTAGCAGGCGCGGGGGTCTACAGATCATGCTTTCAGGGGACATCTAGGTCAAGTGGCATAACAAACTTTATTAAGAAAATGTTCTACATCCTACTTCGGTGAGTGGTGTCTGGGGTCTTAAAAGCTAGAGTGGCCATATAAGACGCATCAACTGGTCCCAACCAACCTGAAGCAAAGGAGAATGAAGAACACCAAAGACACAAGGCAAGTATTAGCCCCGGAGACAGAAAGGGCCACGTAAACCAGAGACTCCATCAGGCTGAGACAAGAAGAACTAGATGGTGCCCAGCTACCACCAATGAGCGGCTTGACAGGGAACACAACCGAGAGTCTGATGGAGCAGGAGAAAGGTGGGGTACAGAACTCAAATTCTAGTAAAAAGACCAGATTTAACGGTTTGATTGAGACTGGAGGGAGCTCGGAAGACGTGGCCCTGGGACGCTCTGTTAGCCCAAAACTAAAACCATTCCCAAGGCCAACTCTTCAGACAAAGATTAGACTAGACTATGGGACATAAAATGATACTTGTGAAGAGTGTTTCTTAGCTCAAGTAGATACATGAGACTAAATGGGCAGCTCCTGTCCAGAGGCGAGATGAGAAGGCAGAGAGGGTCAGGAGCTAGTTGAATGGACACAGGAAATCCAGGGTGGAAAGCAAGAGTGTGCTGTCACAGTATAGGGAAAGCCAACTAGGGTCACATAACAACATACATATAAATTTTTGTATGAGAGACTAACTTGAATTATAAATGTTCACTTAAACCACAATTCAAAAAAAAAAAGAAAAAAAAAATCTTGCTTAGAAATCTCATCAGCCAGATATCCAAGTTCATCCCTTACAAGTTCTACATTCCATCAAACATCTGGACATAATTCAGATATGTTCTTTGCACTGCATGAAAAAAATCACACTTTCTCCACTATCCAATCACATGTTGTAAAAATCACTTAGGGGTGGTGTCTGACCTCCTCTAACTTCACAAGTGGGAAAGAGAATCAAGATCAACAGCCCAAGGCTGATTCCTTTGAGGTGGAGATCAGACATGCCTCCTCCCTCTACCATCTTTACCAATTCTGACACGGACAGTTCCTCCCACGGCACTCCCTACTTCTCTGCTGGGTTGGATAATTCATTGCAATGGCCACACAGAACTGATAGATCATACACACAATTATGGGATTTATCAAGTTACAATTCAAGCTCAGGAACATTCAGGATACAGCTCTTCCATAAGGACAGCCTCTTCCCAGCTGTGCTCGCAGGCACGCCTCTCCGTGGCCCCCAGCCTCTGCCAAAGACACTTAGCATTCTCTCTCCATGGGCCAGGAAACCCACCATGCCATCTCCTGTTGCTGGGTCTCTGCTGTCACGTAGTCTGCAGTTGCTTCTTGCTGCCTTCAGTGTTACAGTTCTCTGTTTCCTGGTTCCAGGAGCTTCTCAGTACAGGGATCCCGGGTCCAAAGGATGTGCTGGCTCCTGGCTGTTCTTCCTTAGTGCCAGTGGGATCCTCTCCCTCGCCCCTCTTGGATGGCTCAACTCAAACCCAGCAGGTTGGCAAAACTGACCAATCCCTTTGGTGGGCCACAATTACCATATATGCAGAGTCCCACTCAATCACTTGGGTGGGAGTTACAAGACCATGGAGAGAACGGCCACACACAAGTGATCCATCACACTGCACATGTTTATCATTTTCTTTCAAAGCCTCACCAGAAGCACATTTAATGTTCATATTTCTAGCAACATTCTGTGGCTGGTGCCATATATATTCTCTAAGACGACAGACACTTTCTCTATAGCTCTCCTCACTTCCTTCTGAGCCTTCACCAGAACTGCCTTTGACATCCACGATTCTACCAACAATCTCTTCAAGGTAATCTAGGCTTTTACTATTAGGCACCTTAAATCTCTTCCAGCCTGTACCTATTACCCAATTCTAAAACCACTTTCACATTGCAAGTATTTATTACAGCAGCACCCCCTACTCTTCCAGTACCAAAGTCTGTCTTAGCTATCTACTGCTACTATAAGAAAAATACAAGTAGATGGCTTTAACGAACAGAAATTTATTTCCTCACAGTTTAGGAGGCTAGAAGTCTGAATTCAGGGCGCTGGCTCTAGGGAAACGCTTTCTATCTGTTGGCTCTAGAGGAACGTCCTTCTCTCTTTTGAGCTTCTGTTCCTGGGTGATCTTCACGTGGCTTGTCATCTCTCTTCTGCCATCTCTGCTACTTTTGCTTCCTTGTTTAATCACTTTTATATATAAAAACACAATGACTCTAAATATACCCTACACTAATCCTACTTCATTAACATAGCAAAGACAACCCAGTCCCAAATGGGATTACAACCACAGGCATAGAGGTTAGGATTTACAACACATACTTTTGGGGGACACAATTCAATCCGTAACAAACGAATTAAAAGAGAAAGTGAAGTGGCAACCACAAAGAATTAGGGAATTAATGGAAGAAATGATGCAGATAAAATCGACATTTTCTAGTAGTTTTTACATACCTATTTGGGAGAATTGCTCCACAGATCCGGACTCATTTGCATACCATTACTAACCCTACCAATGGTAACTGGATGCAGAAAGACTTACTAATAAACTGAGATATGGCTCACCTTGCCAGAGGATGAATAAATAAAATAGAGAGTCTGGCAGCAAAGTAGAAAGTGTGCATGTATATGACGCTTTGCGGGCCATAAGGTCTCCCACAGAAGGTCTCAACTTTACTTCTGCAGCACGAAAGCGGCTCTAGACCGATAGGCAGCGTGGTGGATTAGTCCCTTACATAGTAGTTAGCCGACTGGTGAATGAGAGGAGAAAATATATGGTTATGTAAACCAAGGTTTTTGAACTACGGCCGGGGGAATATAACGCCTTCTGTGCCAGCAGCTGAGGTTCCTGGCTTCTTGGGCTTCCAAAACTTCAGGCCAGACGAGTCTCTGCAACACACACACTGACCACCCTCAAGCCCGCATTAATGAGAAACCTGGTCCAGACACCCCGTGTGATGTCCACACCTCGGCTCCAAATTCACTGTGCCCCATAATAAACCCCGAACCTGACACCGCATTCATCGTAAATAACACTTCTACCCCGGACAAGCAGAGTGATCCGCAAAGACCCCGTACCCTGAAATCTGGACAGCCTTAAGAGTTGTACAAAAGCGCTCACCCCAGATCTGACCCCAAAAGCACCGGACTCCCACCTGCTCCCCCTCAAGCACCTCCATCCCTGCGCTCCCCTCAAGAACTTCATGAGTCCTCTCGACACCACGTACACACACTCACGTCTCCCTGTTTCAAGGACAAAAATACACACTGACCTGTTTTTCTCCTGACTCAACAGAAGTTCCGAAAAGATACACTTAACTACCGTGAACGACTCCCACTTCTCAACCCTTCTCGTAGAATCCTCGCTTGGCTACGGCGGCCGGCGAGGGTCGGGAATCTTGAAAGAGCGCTGACAACCGCATTTCCCGCATTGACTTACGAGATAATATGTCTGCGCCCTTTTTGTCGTATCGTATGGAGGCGGCCATATTTGGAAACCAGCCGTACAGAAAAAAAGGGGTCGTTTTTGAGCTAGTAACCAGTTATAAAAATCATAAAACTCAAAGAAATTTGAACATGAAGTTTATTCTGAGCAGAGACCACTTTGATTCCAAAAAAAGCAAATGACTGGAAGAAGCTTATAAAGAGAAGAGATGGGATAAATTTAGAAGATCAACCATTAGCTGATCTAAGCGTGGTTGATTGAAACCTGCTCTCTGACTTTTGCTGAGATTAACGGTTATCAGTTCACGAAAAGGTCTCTGTCCCCGCAACCCGCAACCCAGTCATCTCTTTTGAAATTCAAATGTAGTAAGCCTTGTTTCCAACAGGAAAGAAAGGATTTACAACTTTAGGTAAAAGAAGAGCCGCTAGCTGATTAATTTTGGTAACGCTTTCTTTAAAGGGAATATTTGGTTTCCTGGGTAAGAACACCCTAAAATCAAAGCAAGATATCTGCTATCAATTTCTGTCTTTGACACCAGGGAGGGACGGCGAGGAAGAAGAGGCCAATGAAACTGTCCTATTCTTTCTCTCCTGTACCCCTGCAAAAAATGGATGGCTTTTCAGGGATTCGCAAGGAAAACATGGCATGGATCATATTGCTTTCAGCAGGCTAGGCAAAAAAGTAATATGGCCAAGCCCTTTAAACACCATGTTAAAAAAAGTCTGGAAACGGACAAGTGGGAGTTCAAGTGTCAGTACAGCACAGGCAACCACGGAAAGATTCTGACTGCAAACCGAGGCCGGTAGCACGCCCACCATCTTGAATAACCAAGGGGTGGTGCCTGCCATCCTATGTGATATGAGAACTCCCTGCATGTAAGCTATCTCCTTATTAGGTAATGGAGGAACTAACCCTGTCTTTAAGATATCTCCTTATTTAGGTATACTTCCAGTTCTGGTTCAGCTAAGAAAAACAAGAGACTTAGGTCTTAAGACCATCCGAAACTGATCTGGAACCAGGTTTGGGCCGCCTGACATGCGCAGTACTGACAATGGTGTTCCTTGGATGAGCTATAGACGTCAGAGGCCAAAAAGCAGACCCCTGTCTACGCCCCAGACGTGGGCGAAACGCCATCTTTGTGGCCTCCCTTTTCGACTGAGCAGGCGCAGAAGATCAGACCACCCCAGCAACGCCTTTATGGGCTAAAGGAATCAGCAGGCTGACTCCACCTTGGGGCAGCCCTGAAGTCTCTAGACCCAATTTACTTTACCCATAACAAACCCCTTGGGCCATTGTTCAGGGAGCCACCTTGGCGACACAAGACCCAGTGGACTCCTTCACTTGGCCAGCTAAATAAAGCTGCTTCTGTTTTCACCGCTTCCTGTCCTTCTAGCCGCACCAAGCAGACCTGGAAGCATCCGGTTACAAAACGGCTGGCAAAAGCTGCAGTAAGCACAGAAAAAGATTTGGAGAAGGCAGTACTCTATGGGAGCCCTAGTGGTGCAGTGGTTAAGAACCATGGCAGCTATCCAAAAGGTTGGCAGTTCAAATCCACCAACCCCTCCATGAAAACCCTGTGGTGCAGTGATACTCTGTCCTATAGAGTCAATATGAGTCAGAACTGACTTGATGGCAACAGGTTTAGTTTTCTGTTTTGGTTTGGTACTGTGTGAGAGTGGCCATCACAGACAGGGCAAAAGAGTCAGTTGGATGAGCCTAAGATATTTGGAGTGGAGCACAGGAGAAAGGCCACTAAAGGTGGTCAGTAAAAGCAAATAGATTGCCAGGACTTTCTTCCTAGACCATCCTAGTAAGGAAGCTCCACTGGAACCTCTACAGCATCATAGAAACATGCAAGCCTCCACTCAGAGATACGAGGTGTCTGCGCTTGAGGTGTATTGGTTCAGAATCGAAGCCTGGTCTCACACATTGTTGTTCTTGTGTGCCATCAATTCCATCTCATAGCGACCCTATAGGACAGAGTAGAACTGCCCCATAGGGTTTCCAAAGAGCAGCTGGTGGATTCAAACTGCAGACCATTTGCTTAGCAACCAAGCTCAAACACCGAGCCACCAGGGCTCCCTAAACTGATTGTACATAGATAATTCTTGAAAAAGAGCCCAATGTCAAAGGCAAACACAGTCTCCCCCAAGCTGCTTACTAGGCTATTGTTTGCCTTAAAGATGACTTGAGGAAACCAGTGTCTTCTAGGTTCAAAAGGACATCCTAGGGCAAATGGTCTGCGTGGGTCACCCCAACTCCATGGATACAGGACTCTAGAGTCTAGGAGAATTAGAACAGTTTCTCATAGGTTATGGTAGGTTAACGAGAAAAGGTCAAAAGATCGACCCCAAAACATCCATGTGTTATCTTTACACTCAGCACCACTTCCTATTGATGTTGTTGTTAGGGGCTGTTGAGTCGGTTCCAACTCATAGTGACCCTATGTACAACCATCCTCACAATCAGTGTTATGGTTGAGCCCATTGTTGAAGCCACTGTGTCAATCCATCCCGTTGAGGGTCTTCCTCTTTCGCACTGACCCTCCACCAAGCATGATGTCCTTCTCCAGGGACTGGTCCCTCCTGATAACATGTCCAAAGTATGTGAGACGTAGTCTTGCCATCTTGCTTCTAAGGAGCATTCTGACCGTACTTCTTCCAAGACAGATTTGTTCATTCTTTTGGCAGTCCATTGTGTATATTCAGTATTCTTCACCAACACCATAACTCAGGCATCAATTTTTCTTCAGGCTTCCTTACTCACTGTCCAGCTTTCGCATGCATAAAGGCGACTGAAAACACCATGCCTTGGGTCAGGCGCACCTTAGTCTTCAAGGTGACATCTTTGCTTTTTAACACTTTAAAGAGGTCTTTTGCAGCAGATTTGCCCAATGCAATGCATAAT